CCAACTGTCAAAACAGTAAATTAATTACTATCACTTTCCCGCGATTTCATCCGCACGGAATTTAAAAAATCTGGCAATGAATGGCGTATGCCACACGTGAATATTGTAAATTTCCAATAGTGAAAAAAAAATTCATAAAATATTAAATAAAATATTTCCTCTTTATAATATCAGTATATTAATAATATTAGTTTGTGTTTTAATTAAAAATGTATCACTTCATTTGATTTCACGACTGTACCCAAACTCGTACAATTGAGTATAAAAGTGTTAAAGATATTCCGATAAAACGAACAGATGTAATAAAATAGAGAGTAGTTGAAAGTACATTACATATAACCGTTTATTTTTCTAAGAATTAACTGTTCCCATTCGGAATAGTTTACGATATTACTTTACGATTGTAATAGTATTTTTGATTTTTTTTTAACTCGAAATTATCGTTTTAGTTAAATTATGACGCAAATATATATCTAAGTACACACTCCGAAATTCGCGATTGCTAATTAACATTATCGCATAATTTAGCAATCAAAATCAATGCTTGTTTTAACACTGGCTGAATGTAAACAAGCGTGTTATTTGAAAAAAAATATTGTGATTGTAACAGCCAATCACATTTGTTTTTATTTTGACACGTGTCACGTGACATATCTGACACGTATATTTTTTTAGGCAAAGGCACACCTTCAACGCATCAGAAGGTAAACATACAAAGAACGATGCCCGCTTCAGCGCTAATCTCAACTTTTGTTTGAACTTTTTGAGTGTTTTATCCAAACACACATGTGTGGCAGTAAAACGTATGTTAGACAGGTTCAACATTTTGTCGTTGAATATTCAACTACCCATAAAGTTATGATAGAGGAGTTCTTTTGACAAGCTCAAAATTCACCGTTTGGTTCAATTATAGGTCCGAAAAAATCTAAAAACAATGCGAAGATTGAAAAGAAATAATACTGTAAAACTCTGTTTTGTGTGCTAACTACATCTAAACTGGCAGCGTGATTATGTTATTAATAGGTTCAGTTTTGAAAATGGAATACCCAACCAAAATCCAATAGGCGACATTTTTTTCATTGTTTTGAAATCAAAAGCTTGAATGAATAAATGCATTGAATTGGCGTAAGCACAGCATATCTTGAGTACATTAATACTCCTACTAAAGTTCCTGAGGCTCGGGTAATCAAAAAGCAATTATAGGATGTGGCTGTCAAACCGACAACAAAATAATAAAAGCTTGATATCCGTTGGCATCAGCTGCGTAAATCGACTTCCGCTGGAACTGGTGTTACCAGTCCTTTTGTCATCAAAAAACCACGGTGTTGCCTGTTGTTAAAATTTTAATTCACACAAACACGTTAATGTTTTATACCATTTAACAGTTATGGTACGTGATAAGTGTATGTTATTTAATTTGAAACGGTACTATGATTTAAAAAATTAAACAAAATAAAGCTTTATTTAGACTTTTGATAAAATCGATATAGCAAGAAGATAATATTGCATATCTAAATAAAAAGTTAAAATATGCATAAAACATACAAAACTCGTTAAAAAATCACCTAAGCAGTTACATAAAACATAACAACTACTATCATAAACAATAATAAAAGGGCTACAACTTATAAGCAACGAAACGAATCGTTTCAAACAAAATTGAAAATTCCCAGACATTACGGTGTTTGGCCTGAATTCCGCGCTGGCTGCAACACGTCCGTATAATTAGACGTACAAACGTAACTTGCGGAAGTGCAAACAGTTGAGCTTAACTCCGAAACTGGTTAATCTTTTTTCTTTGTAACGAACAATGTTTATTTGTTTAATGTCATTTCTAACAGTGATAGTACACTCATTTATGACGTGACTATAAATAAACGACAGCTTTAAAATACCAGACATTTTAAAATATTTATAAGCAATTTATAGGTTTCGTTTTTACTTATAAGCAAAGTTTCTATATATCTTTTTAATAGTAATAAACAAGACATTTTGAAAATCTATACCGCCGTATGTTTGCTACAAAACCAATTGTCAATTTACAAAACTAATCAGTGCTTTTATTTTTTTAATATGGAGAACTGATCGCTATTCTTCGTTAGTCGGAGTGGCACCTCAAGAAGAAGAAGAAGATTTTACCTGTACAGTTTTGTAATATATTTAAATCGTGAAATAAATATTTATTATATTAAAATAGAAAAAAAATCAGAAATGTTACAAAACTGTTCCTTAAACTTTTAATCAAAGTATGTAAACATTTTCTAATCCTTCATTAACCTTAATCGTACTTCATTAATGACTAATTTAAAAAACGTTTTTATAATCTGTTACACTCTCGTTATAAATTTACCGCGATTAACTTTGTGCTCGGTTGCATCCCGGATAGGATTTTAAGTATGCCTTTGCTTCGGCCACACACATTGATTTAAAAAATGTAAAACATAGTGATGGGAACAATCCATTCCCGAAATGTCAAAATCTTAAAAAAATATCTTGTGTTACATGTTTTGATAAATATTTTCACTGTTACTACTTATTTTAATAACTATGTTAATCAATTTTTATAATTAATTTATTTACAGTCTTGTTGACTGTATTTAAGCTTTTTAAGAATAGAAGGTTATTTATACAAAATAAATAAAATTTCATTCACATATTTCTATTATCTATTTCTTTAAAAAGTTACAAAATATGACATCTAATCGGTATAATAAATTTAATGTCGATTTGACACAATAAATACACGGAGTTTTGTTTAACAATTTTGATGAACATCCCTAAATAAATATCTAAAGTGTGTGGTCTCGTCGTGTGATGTCTCTTGTCTATGCTTTTAGTTGGCGGGATGGTTGGCGCGCTTTTGTCCTCTGTCGTGTCATGTCACACTGATGATAAAATTAAGGAATTTATTGTTCGTCAAAAATGAATAAACTTCGTGTATATAAAATACCACGGGTTCAAAGTTTTATGTGAAGATTATTGATTTTTATTATAATTAACATCCTACGAATGAAAATTTAAAACCTAGACCAAAGTGGGAAGTTTTATCTCTTGCCTAAAGTATGTTTTGTTTTAGAAGGGTTAGTAACCCACGTTTACGAATGGTGAGTTGTTAATTAATAACTTTAGTGAAATCTTGTTCAACTAATACCTTAGCACTTAGACCACCTAATCTAAAATTTCTAGGTTACATTTAATTACATTTTCTTGAATACTTTTATATTAGAATTTTCTTGTATTACTAACGCTACCCATTAGAAAATTGTTTGTTTTTGCTGGTAGCATAATTAAACTTAGAACTTAGACAGAAAAACAATAGTTCCTAAGCTGTACGACTAATTTTTTCACAGGGTATAAAATTACAGTAGCAAAAGAAACATCAAAAGCCGCGCTGGTTACGGTTCTAAGGTTATGGGTTATGGAGTAACAGCTAGCATTGTTGCGACGAGGATAGAGTTACGCTTACAATCGTTCATTGTTTCGAATGATTTGCGTAATGGCTGCCAGCAAAGTTGTGGCGCCCTTTTATTATGTAAACCCAAAGCAAATAAATCCTATGATTTTCCATAGTACAATTACTATTTAGTTTACATCGTTGTACTTGGATGACAAGAGAGATATTTAGAATATGTTAAATGTAAAAAAAAAGGTTCGTAAAAACGATTTTAAAATATAAATGGAAGTACTTAGTTTGGCAAATGTCGCGTTCGCGCCTAGTGGATCGGTTATACTACTAAACAGTTCGGAATATTTGCCGTTTTATGACGAAAGGAGTCATAGAACGACTCATCATCCGCAACACCGAAAAACATAAAAAAAAGTGTACGGTACTAACGTTATAAGAGGAAAAGACACAAGATAAATCTAGCAATGTAACTTCTAGTAAGTATAAAATATAAATGACAAAATGAAATAGAGTACCTTTGCCCCGCTGACATTTAGAACGCTGTTGATTTGCGGTTAGTCTTGCATAATTTAGTCAGCCAGCTGCTAGCCGCAATTTGTTGGATTCGTGCAATCAAAATGCTATAACCAATAACTCATGCACGAAGTTGCTACGAGTAGTTATTGCTTGCAAAATATAGTCGGGTAGATCGATCCCATTACTTTAGTATAAGACGTGGAAATAAATAATTATATCTGGCAAGACTGTTTTGGCCAGTATTTGAATATTATATGGAAGTAACTTAAATTATTCTAAAGATTTGTTAATTGTGTATATAAAATATCTTATTTAAAAGTTTTATTTTATTAGCGACATAAATAAATAATTTTGTAGATTACTTGTACTTCAATTCCCTGGCAGGGTCTGGCCACTGTCAGGCCAAGAGGCGGGTCAGATGCTACCTATATTGTACTGCTAACCGATAAATCGAAATGACCCTCATAGTGAACAAAACTCAAAAACTACCAGAACGGTTCCCTAACTATGTGGCCCTCACAACCGCCACTTTTGTCTGAATCGGAGATGCAGGCTTACGGATTACCCACTTGCGGAAGAACATCAGAAAAGGGGTGGCTTTGTTTTTTTTTTTAAATTATCATTCGAAATAAAACTCAGGTAATTTTTTAAGGGAGCAACGCGGTGGCATACTTAGTAATTATATGGTAATCGTATATTTAGAATAATCCTAATAGATATCCGTTATAAATAATTGTACGATTTGATTTTGCGAAACGAGGCGTTGATATTTGCATAACGTCAACCGTCATCCGTCAATGTCAGAGTCAGTCTCAGTATGTCATGTGAACGTCTATGTACTAAACATTTCCAATTCGATTCCTTTAATAGCAAATCATATTTAATATTTATCAAGTTACCGAGGTTTACTTTTTCCATACTTGTTACCGGCTTATAACTTATTGAACTCAAGATATAAAAGTGAAAGTGTAACGTCAACAATTCCTAATCGTAAGGATAAGTTCATCTGAAATGCTTGGGATCCGCTAAATTACAAAATATATCGTTAAAAATAAACTAAGATATAGATAGATAAATTTCAGTTTTTATTACAAATTTAGTGAAAAAGTGACTAGATTTCAAATATAAAAATCAGGTTTCGTGCTTTAGTCATTAATAAGTTCAAAGTAATTTATAAATTTCGTGTTGAGTCATTATTACATGCTAGGTAATAAACCCTGGTAACGGTTACTCTTTGAATAAACCTTAAACCACAGTACGAAGCTGTGACTTCATAAGACGGTCGTACAAGGCACAAAATAATGGATAAATTGAAATATTTTTGGTCCAAAACTAATCGTTGGCATCGCGGTGAGTATTTCTTTGCTTAAATCGATAAGGTTCAAAAAATTTATTGACAAAAATAGAATTATTCGTTAGTATGAATCGTATTACTTTCTATGATGAAATTATAGGTTAAATTTGAAGTTTCGACTTTTAGTCACTATATGTTTTAAATTTCAAATTGTCAAGAATACATAATTACGTACTTATAAATAAATTATACAATTACGAAGTCGCCAGCAGCTGCAAGTACATAAATACTAATTGAAAATTGCTAATTTTATTTCTAGACATTGTTAACACCTTAAATTGTAACCTTGGTAAATGCTAATGAAACATCCTGTCGTAAAGTTGTTAAATTTAACATTCGTTTTTTGCAAGTAAATTTCTAGACTATGTAAATCTAATGACACTTCATTCTTTACAAACTAACCATTTTCCTAAATGAGGTTCAATGTGTTTCATACATGTATCTAGAGGAGGTACTTAGACATATTTGCACAAATACAATAAAGTATATAACAAGCTAGACAAAATTATAGATGCTTACAAAATTTGATAAGAATTGGTCTAGTAATTTTGATATCACGAATTTCGCGAAATTGTTATATATAAAGATACAATCTGAATATTTCAATATACTAAAAAAAACATGTTATTCTTGGTATGAGAGCAGCTGTTGTCTAAAATCGAACCACATAATATAATAGTGGGTTAAATAGTTGCTTAAAACATGAACAACCCCTTAATCAATATTGAATATTGTTTATAATTTTGTTACAGTGATAGCTCTGTTCGTACTTGTGGAATTAAAAGTGATACCCGGAGGTCAATTAGGCTTCCAATGCAATGATCCAGCACTCTCACACCCCTACACTGGAGATACAATTAGCTGGAAGTGGCTGATGGGGATTACTTTACTATTGCCATTGGTTATTGTAAGTAAATTTTGATAAAAAGAACCACTGTTTGACTATCCTATGGTATTGTGTTAGTTGTTACATTGACCATGGGTTTCTAAGACCAAAAACTGTGTTTAAAACATATTGCTATATCTGTTTTGTAAAAGATAATGACAGGGATATTTAAGGAGTAGCTATCTTGGTTACTTGTGTACAGTTAGTTAAATATAAGCACATTAAGTTTTCTAATAAGTTTTATTTTAATATCAAATCTTTACCTTATACTTTCAAACACAAATGAAGTTTTTTTACAGTAATTATTTATATTCTAAAAATGATTAATAAGACTTTATAACTTACATTATACACATAGATAAGCACATAATTAATTATTTGCACACTTCTTGTTAGCAAATTTGGCCTTGTATTACTATTCTGGTGTATAAAAATTAAATTTGCATAATAAGTAGGTTAATTTTGTATGTATTTTAGATGTTAATAGTTGAGAGACAATGTAATGGCAGTGAAAAGAATGATTTAAACAAGAAGAACGCATTACGCTGGTACAAAGAGTATGTATATGGAGTACTGATCAATTTGACAATTGTACAGACTTTGAAATTAATTGTTGGCTCACCGAGACCTCACTTCTTTGATACATGCCAACCTGAAGAAGCAATCACTTGTGTTGGGTAAGTTTGTATATATTAACTAGCTGTTGCCCGGGACTCTATAATTTTTTCCAGACTATGTTCTATGTTTAGGCTAAATTTCAGCCAGATCTGTTCAGCCATTCTGGAGATACCTTTATATAAACCTCCATCCATCCATCTAAACATTCGCATTAATATTAGTAAGATCAAGATGTGTTTCAGGTCAGATTATATATCTAGTTATACATGTACGAAGGCGTATTGGCTCAGCCAGTCTGATAAGAGCTTTCCCTCCGGACACACTTCTCTAGGACTCCATGCTGCATTATTTATAGCGGTAAGTTTATTTTATTTCTCCAAATTAGAAGCAAATAAGGAAAATATAATTTTAGTACAAAAAGCTTCACTTTAAGTTTCACTTTCGGTCACTAGGGGAGATAAGCTTCTTGTACTTTGTACTTCAGCAACTTTAATAATGAGCTCGTCCGATGCAATGCCACAACCGCACAGAAGACAAGTCAAGTGGAAGTCATTCCATATCCTGATGTCTGATGAGTATACCGAAGGCCTAATTTTGGTCCCCTTTCCCTTCCAACTCTTATAAGCAAAATATGGAAAAGAACAGTGGATTGGACTAAGAACGTGACACATGGCAAGGGGAAATATTTTATGTTTGTGCGTCCGCTCCTCCGTCAATTATAGATAGGCCAAACGCATATGTCTATGTACGAGGTTTCGGCGAATCAATTTTTTTTTATTTTTTAGTATTACCTACATCGTCGTGGGGCAAGTGTTGGTAGAGGTGTGGTGGGTGGTGCACAGATAGTGTGCGTGTTGTGTGCGGCGTGGTGCGGCGTGTCACGTGTCCAGGACAGAAGACATCACTGGTGGGACGTGTTGGCTGGAGCGGTCATAGCTGCACCTATATTGTTCTACACCGTGAGTGTCAATGCTATTCATTACTAAAACTAGCTCAAATATGATTAACTAGCTGTTGCGCGTGACTCTGTCCGCGCGGAATTAATAATATAACCCTAACCCTTAATTCGATGGTGTCCAGTGTGACGAACAACTAATTAAAAAAAAAATCTACTGAACTAGTTTAGAGAAAATAACGTAAGTATGACTTTACTAAAAAAAGACAGTTTTTTGCTACAAAAATTTCGTCGAATTAAGGGTTAATAAGTAGCCTATGTGTTATTACAGTTTCCAGAATGTTTTACAAATTTCATCAAAATCCATTAAGCCGTTTTAAACAAAGATCCATCAATTTAAACTTTCGCATTTATAATATTAGTAATTTTAGACAATTTTTACTTAAAGTACTTTACCGCGAATGACGTGCTTTCATTACAAAGCCCAGTGTCAGAATGAATGTGAGGGAACACAAACGTCGACATTTTAGTAAGACTAGTGTTGAGTCAATACACTGACTCATTTTCGGATTTTCTTCCTAACAATAAGATTAGTAAGAATAGTACATTTAATCATCCATACAAATTAGTGCAATTATTATGAACATTTTCATAGCTTTGTTAGTTGTATATTTATTTAATTTCCTTATTTACAGATAAAATCACTTTGCAAAGATTTCTCATGTACCAACATTACGAACGAAGTGAGACAAGAAGAAGCGAAACCTTTAGATAATAATAGTCAATAATAACAGTATTATATCAGTATTAAAAGTACACAATTATTGTGGAGATGGTATCCTTTACTACTCGTGCGCCATAACATGATACCCTAAACAAATGACGTCATTTTAACCAAAAAGTTTAAATTGTACTTGTATTAATATACCTTTTGTTTTCTTTTGAGATTAGCAACAATAATATATGTTAATAAAAAGGTCAAGGTATTTGACAGTAAATTCATTAAAATGTTAATAATTTTTTTTTTGAATTACAGGAGAAAGCGAAAAATTTATCGTATGTCATGTTATTGTGTACGCATAGTATTTAATATTTTACGTATTTTTTATAATTCTGTAGCTTTTATAAGTATTATTAAGAGGTGATTTTTTTTTAATTTATTTGAAACGCTCGACGATAAGATCGTCTATGACGCTTTTAAAAGGTTTTTCATTATTTTACAATGTAGCTATTTTTTTTATTTAAATGTAATATATTTTTCTACTTAAATAAAAGTAAATTAAACTGCACCAAAAATTTACATATAAACATGGGAAAAAAGCGTAATTTTATAAGAAAGAAAGACAATTTAAAAACTTTAATAATTTCATATACACTTTTCTACTGCATTATACATCTGGGTTACATCTGTATTATTATATTGTCTCTGTTTTTCTTAAACATATGAAAGAGATGACAATATTTTAGTACAAGAATACCACAGTTAAGTAAACTTAAGATCGCACCAAAGTATAATTTACTAACTAAAAGTACAGTCAGCATGAATATTTTTTAATAAAAAAACATTTTTGAGTGTATTTTTGTGATGAATGTAATTTTGATGTTGACTGTACCTATTGTCTGATGTAAGTTAAAATTATAGTAAAAATTTTATAAGTCAAATGTTTTTTATGCAAATGTTTCGTCAGTGGGAACGTTGTAAAAATGTCACTAGTATTATTGACAGTTCCAAAGCAAATATTCTTGTCTTTTTGTATACACATTTATATTCAATTAATAAAATTAGACCGTCTTTATGTTATTTCTAAAAAAAATATTTTACATTTTTGTATGTCTGCATTTGTTCCGGGTAATTTCCAAAATGGCTGAATCCATTTTAAATTGACTTTAACTGGAATTTAGTCGATATGTGCAAAGTAACTTAAGCTTTTTTTTATTTTACACTGACAAAGTCGTAGGAAATCGCTAGTTTTTTCATATATTTATTATAATTGTCTATTATATTATTTATTATTGTGTTGGTAGATTTATGTTTCGTCTTAATATTTGAGTTTTTATTCTTTATAAGATTTATTTTACGCTTTTTTCTTGAATTTTACAATGTATGTATGTAAATGTATGATATTTTGACCTTATATATTATTGAGATTTTTTTTAATCTTTATAAATGTGGAATTTTATCTTTAGTAGTAATTTTAATTTATAAAGATTGCAAAAATCTTTTTTTTTTTTAATTTTCACATTGTGATAAGTTTAAAAAACTTAAAATCTTGTATTTCCTTTTATATAAGTGAATTTTAGCTAATTTTTGTGATACTTTTTATTACCTACCATGTTTAATATGGATACTAATTTAAACGGGTTTTTGTTTAAAATCTATCTCAAAACTATTTCTTAAGTATGTATTTATTTTTAAGATTTTATTTTATACAATTTTGGAGAAAAGGTGAAAGTTGTAAGTAGATGTCGACACCGGCGACACTGTTGTCATCTGTCAACATTTTTATACGTCATTAAGCGATAAAAAAGTTCTAATTTTCAAAGCCGGAATGCATCCGTAGCTGTAGTCATTTCATTTGCCTAATAAATTCATGAACTGTGTTTAAAAAAAACCTATTATAACCTCCTTCTTTTTGAAGTCGGCTAAAAATAACTTACTTTAGATTTTTTGAGTGTAATTTGTCGGTTACTATGACTACGTTACACGGAGTATATTTTATACAAAATAGTGTTTTTTTTTGTACATCTGTGGTATATTTAGTGATGTCACTCTTGATCATCCTGACATCTGTTGAGAGAAAAACGCACTTCTTAATATGCGAGAAATCAAATGTGCACTCACCTTTATATTGCTTGTGAATAATCTTATAAGCATCAATATTGTGATACATGTCGTGAAAAAATACATATAAAAATACCAAAAAAAATTTTTTTTTTTTAAATAAGACAATAATACTTATTAAATTTTTTATTTGTATCCCAATTTTTAATTGTATAATAAATTAATGTTAAAAAGATTCTTGTATTCAGAAAAAACACAGCTTTTTCTTACAAACGGGATACGAATTAGCAAATAAAATTGTAAAGGAATCAATAAACAAATGCTTAGGGAACGTAAAACTGCCTACCCTTCAGTAGAGAGGGTGTGATTTTTTTGTAACTGTAATTTAAGATATGTCTACAATGTAAATGTATTGAAAAAAATATTTTCTGTACTCTTTGAGAAGCTCTGAGTTCGTATTTAATTAATAATAATATTTGTATGAAAAATTTACATCACATTGACTTTAAATAAGAATATACGAGATAAATATATTCATTACAACATGATGCGAGTCAAATTTCATTTTAACTTACGATTGTGTTCAAAATTGTCATTTCTAGAATTAAAACCCCTTTAAGTACTGTCATAAATGTCAAAAATGACGTCATCGATCGAAATGTCACCCGCACCATGCTATGCAGAGTATTTCCTATGATCTCATGTCTATAGTTAGCCGAGCAGCTGGCTGTCATCTGACAATGTCTTCTCTTTGACCTGCTTGTTGAGATGGTCTATGAGCGCGTCTACAGTCATCTCTCCGTGCACCTTGTTGTCTCTGGTGCGGACATTCACCGTGTTGGAGTTCTTCTCGCGTTCTCCCACCACTGAAAAAGTATGGAGTTTATCAATATCCGGCTCAAAGGACCAAAAGCCTAGAAAACTTTGCTTATATGGATTTGACCAAAGAGAGGACGTACAGAAAGAGGTTATTTCCCCTTCTCTGTCGATTAAATCTGAAATTGCAGATGTCCATAGGCAGCGGTTGCTTCGCCATTTCAGCGAATTAAGTTGGCTTGTTTGCCACTTTATAATATAAAAATCTCAGTATGTTGGTTTTCCAAATATTCGACGTAATTAAAAGCTTTATATACTTGATCGAAATGTTTAGAAAATAAATATTTTCTGTTTAGTATGATTTGAAATAAATCACCCTTTATTTGGTTTCAGCCGTATTACTTTAGTACCACTTTGGTCAAATTGAAGCATTTTTGATTTCCTATGAATTTATAAAATCTTTTACGATTTACCTAGTATATAGTTGAACTGGGCAAGTTGTGCGTTTCGCACTTTCTTGTTGAGCGTGTCTCCAGGGTCTGTGTCCACTTCTGACATGAAGCCGTTAGCAAATAGCTTCTCATTCACCTGAAATACAATAATTTAATTTTTATTTACAATTAAAGTTTATGTATTTTTACTATGTATTCATACTTTTTTTCATATAATTGAGTTATTTTTTAGTTCTGTTAATTAAGACGATCAAAAAACCTTAATTTATAAGTTTTTTTCTTTCAAATTTTCCTTTAAATTCGATTCTTTAAATGTCTGTGATGTAGGGCAGCATATCACCTCATTTTACCGTTGGTTTCTGAGACCAAAATCGCTAAATAAAATTTATCGTCATCCCTGTCATTATCTTTGACAAACCAGAGATACTATGTTTTTAATGAGGATTTTGTCTACAAAAACCCACGGTATTTTAATTTTTAGCTAGTCAAGTCAGTGGTACAGGCACAATGTAAAATATATTAATAACATGTAAACTACAAACCGTGGTGGCGTACTGGTCCAGCGAGGGTCCGACAGGTACAACACAGACTTGCCTGGGACTGAGCCACAGCGGCCACTTGCCGGCGTACGACTCGCTCAGTATGGCCACCATGCGCTCCACTGACCCCAAGATGGCGCGGTGGATTATCACTGGACGCTTCTTCTCACCACTCTCACTGAAAACAACAATATTTTATGTTTTAACAATAAAACGTGCATTTTCCCGCGACTCGACGCGGAACGGGATAAAAAATATCGTATGTCCGTCTCATGGTTCTAAGTTACTACCTTTAATAATTGTCAACCGCTATCGCACTTATTTTCAGTCAAATCTGTTTATCCGTTCTTAAATTATATATAGTGTAAATAAGTGAAGTTGTAGTGTCTGTATATAAAATCGATAAAAAAAAATCTTGTCTGTCTGTTCGCAAATCCGTGTTTATTTTATGTAATCTCCGAAACAGCTGGACGGATTTTGAAAGTACGATAATGCGTGCTATTTTATGCTACTTTTTTAGTTCAAAATATAAGCTAATTATTAGAAAATATCTTGTATACTCAGTAATTTGCTTAAGTATAAAACTATAAAGACTTTCACTTATTAAAGTGATATACCATATTTCAACAATGTAAATCAAATTGTAATTTCTTTGACGTCAATAAAGTGTTAAAATGACAAAAAACTGTCACTTAGAATAACGTTTATAATGAAACTTGTCATGTCTATTGTTTAGGCAAATCTTGGTGACTGACCTGACATAGGTAAGGTTGAATCTCTCAGGCAGCTGGAAGTCTAGCTGAATGGTGGCGCACTGGTGGGAGCGACGCAGCGCATCCTGGATTGTAATATCAATCTTGGGTCCGTAAAAAGCGCCATCCCCAGGGTTCAGTTGCCAGGGTCGACCGAATTTGTTCAAAGAATCTTCTAAAGCCTGAAAATTAGTAATAATTACAATATTAATTGTTTATAATGTTACACTTAAGTCATACTTTTTTTAATTCAGATTTTTCTGGAAAAATTTTTCTAAACTTAAATGTATTGTCTATAAAAAACTGTCTATTCAAGTTTCCTTTTTAAAATTGATACCGGGAAAGTTAATTTTAAATAAGCAAATGTACCTTTTCCGCCTGATCCCAAGTGGCAAGATCTCCTAGATACTTCTCAGGTCGCGTGGACAACTTCAGCTGGAACGTGAACCCGAAAGTCGTGTACACGCAGTCCAGGAATTCTAAGCACGCCACCTAATGAATATAAAAAGATTTAGAATACGCTACATTTGTAAAACAACGCCATCTATTGTAAGCACCTTTAACTACAAAAAATATATATTTTGCTCCATTTACGGAACAGCGCCATCTATCGCTAGAATCTATTATCTAGTGAGAACTATACTCGAGAGTAATTGCTCTGGATGGAAATAAAAAAGGATTACACTTATATAGGTTTTAAACCCGCAATCATATGATAAAAAATACATGAAATACAAAAAAATATATATTCTAGCAACGACGAACGCATGATCGTTAAATTTGGAATCGTTTACCTTTAGCCATTAGGCGTTTCAAAATTAATATTAGTAAAGAATGCTCACCATTTCCTGCTCGATGTGTTGCGGCGTACAGAAGATGTGTGCGTCGTCCTGCTGGAAGCGACGCACGCGAGTCAGTCCGGTGAGCGCGCCACTCAGCTCATTGCGATGCAGCACACCGAAATCCGCCAGCCGCAGCGGCAGCTCGCGCCACGACCGCGGACGATTATCAAACATTATACTGCAAATACAAAGAATTCTACATCTGTGCCTAATTTCATCAAGATACGTTAAGCCCTTTTAGTACATATGTAGTAACAAACATCCATACATCCAAACATTCGCATTTCTATTATTAATATGGATTATCTACGACTCAACATGCGTGACTTATACTAAAATAATAAAGGCGTCGGTAGCTCAGAGGTTTAAGCTCTTGACTTGTAATCTGCAGGTCTTGGGTTCAAACCCCGCCATGTACCAATGTGTTTTTCGAGTTTTGATTTACATCGTGATGTTGCAAATATCTGCCAAGAAATTCAAAGATATGTGTGAAGTCAACCAACCCGCACTTGGCTAGGGTGGTTGACTATGGCCTAGTTACCCCTAACTTAGGGTAAGCTCCTTAAGTATAGTGAGCTGATGATGATGATAATGTTACTATAACACGACTCACCAATGTCCCGGACAGTTCATAGGTTTGAGGGCGAAGGTCTCTTTCTCCACATCGAAGGAGAACATGTTCTCAGCATAATGCGCCCAGTGGCCCGAAGTCTGCCACAACTTGGCATTGTACATGTTTGGTGTTACCACTTCTTGGAAACCTCGCACTCTGTGGAAAAAACACGATATAGTTCTTAGAAAAATTTTTTTTTTTGGTTTTCATTTAAATAAAACTATACTAAACTGAACTTATATTCGTCATATTATACACTTATAGAGGGTTTCTGATATCAAAATCACTGTATAAAACATATGTGTCTAGTTTGGAAGAGTCTGGAAGAGCACATAGATTACTTATTAAGTTTTTTTTATTCCGCGCAGACGGACTCGCGGGCAACTACTAGTTACTAATATTTATTATTTATTATTACCTATATTGCTCCCGTATGAAGTTAACCAAAGTATTGTATATATGAGCGCCGCGCGGTTGGAAGAAACACGAGCCAGGTGACAACTCGTGGAAGAAAAACAACTCTTGTTCCTGAAAAATGTACAAATTTTACTATCACATGATTGAATACTTACTATGAGTTTCTGAGATGAAAGTGTCTGTATAAAACATATTATCATCCCTGTCTTTATTTTTGGGAAAACCGAGATAACAGTATGTTTTAAACAGGAATTTTGGCCTCAGAAACTCACGGTTGACTAACTAAGAAACATAAATTTTGAATATTTATAAACATTCTTAAAAGAAAAAAATAACAAAAATGTCTTGGTACTAATTTTTCTCAATATATTGAAATTGTATATTTTTTCAGTCATACCCTGCCAATCTTCCTATGGTCTCTCTTGGCCGCTTCCTCCTGTATCATCTCCCACTCTTTCAGCTGCTTTGGCTCAGGGAAAGATACTCCGTATATCCTCTGAAGACTCTCCGCATCAGCTTTGCCCTCCCAATATGTGGCAGAGTTCTGAAAGAAAAGGGAAATTTATTTCTTGGTAAGTTTCTTGACTAGCTGTCGCCCGCGACTTTTCGCGCAGGAATAAAAAGTAGATTATTAGCCGATTTATACCTACAGAATATGTATATAAAATTTCATTAAAATCGGTCAAGCCGTTCTGGAGGAATATGGCAACTAACATTTTGACATGAGAATTATGAGAAATGTGAAAGATTTTAAAACTACTGAACTAGTTTGAAAAATTCTTTTGAAAATTAAATGTTGGGAAACTACACTATGCTGGATTAATGTAGGCTATGTTTTTTTTGATACCTTTGTCATGACAAATGTATCAAAGTTCAAATGCCTTTTAAATTCATACCAATAAACAATGACATTTGACTAAAAATTAATATGAATTCACTCACCTTGGTAACCTTCAATGCCTTAACCTTTCCAGTATGCCTGACATGAGGTCCCCGGCAGAGATCAATCAATGGACCACATCTGTACACCGTAGTGGTCGGAGTGTTAACTTTTTCGTTCAAAATTCTCACTTTGAATGGATTGTAATCAAACATCTCCAATAATTGCTCCTTTGTCAGTTCTAAACGTTCGAAAGGTTGCTTCTCCTTTGCTATCTTCTTTACTAATCCTTCTAGAACGTGGAAATCTGTAGAAGATATCTAGAAAGAGAAATTATCTATCTTAATAATCTCACTAATATTATAAATGCGAATGTTTGGATGGATGGATGGAATTTAGAAGGTATCTTCAGAACTGCTGCACGGACTTCACTGGAATTTGGCATAGATGTAGAATATAGGCAGAAAGAACACACAAGCCACTTATGTTTTTTTTTTTATTTCCGCTCAGACAGAGTCGTGGGCGACAGCTAGTGATGTCAATAAATGATTTTCACTGAGATCCTGAGGTCATTTTTAAACTAATCATTAGTCAATTAGAAATGAAATGTTAAATGGGTTACTGAGACGGAGACCAAGACTAAAAAAAGATTTAAAAATATTTTTATCCCTGTTTTGTCAAAGATATTGGCAAGGATGATGATACATTTTATACAGAGATTTTGATCTCAGAAACCCACGGTAAGACTGATTATAAAATTAGTTGATAACTTACCCCTTTTTCAGGATAATACATGTCATAATAGAAACCTTCTTCAATAGGTGGTCCATAACAAAGACATCCACCATAAACCTGTGAAATAAAACATATGGAAAATAAATAATTGCAATAGACAATCATTTCTTTTTTACACCAACAACTTACACACTCATAATCCAGAGGGGTAGGCAGAGAGCATGGACGTCCATTTGGCATGGTCCTGTCATACCTCTATTGCTTTTTCTACATTCATACATCTACGCATACACCTACAAGCTCTTAATACGGCTTTCATGAGCATTTCCTCAGTATTTTTTTTAATTACACGCAAATGGCATTTGGATTATATACAAATGTTGTGTTTAAACAGCTGTATTACTTTATGTACACATATATGAATATTTAAATAGCTAAATAATATATTTACGTCATTTATTACCATAATATTTAAACAACTAAAAACATTTTAAGATGGGTTAACACTACACAAAATATTTCTACTAATTTATATGTGCATATAAACTTACCCTTTCCATAGCTTCACCGAGCATATGAGCTGATGAGTGCCAGAAGACAGCCTGAGCATCAGTATTATCCCAACGTAGGAGTTCCAGTTTGCAGTCACCCTCTAGCGGTCTGTCTAGATCCCATAGCTCATTGTTCACCCGAGCTATGATAGTTGAGTCCGCTAACCCTTGACTGGAATATTATAAAATGTCTTTTTTAATTCTTTCCCTTATGTTGGAGGCCAAGACCCACTTTGAGTGGCTGCGCCAGCAGAGAGAGTATTATTTTTTAAATGAAGAAATTATATTTCAAGTAATAACTTAAAGTTTGTTAGTACAAACATATTTAACTTTTTACATAAAATTAAGTAAATTACGTAATTATTATTCAAATAGTATTTTATAGTATTTTTTCCTTACATGTGAATTAATTCATGTATGAAAAAATAAACCACTCCACCATTACGATTTTAAATAGAAAATTATATGAGAAGAGAATTTTTTTTGTATATCAGTACTTTCATATTATTAGTAGGAAAAAAAAAAAAGAAAAATGTAACAAATATGACATGATTAAATATGCTTTTAATTTTATGTTTAAATAAATAAATAGGTTTGATATTTTACAGCCAATAATTTGATAATCAATTGTATACTTACAATTGACTCCAAAACTCGCTTGTGAGCCCAGAAATAAGGTATGTTAATGTTAAACTCTAGTTAAATATGCCAAACAACTTAAATGTGTCAATGCCGTGCCAATAGCTACATTAGCATAAAAAACAAACAAATATGCAAAAGAATTTGTCGACTGACATGATATACTAGTGTATGTGATGAAAGCAAACTGTGTGGCAAATTTCAATCATGAAAATTTGTCTTTTTTATAGCAAAAGGTGGCAAATATTCAAGCGGCCACTTGAATTCACTATATTTTTAAAGTGATTGGTGCCTACAGACATTTGCATTTGCAGATGCATTGCATGCCTTCAATCAACAGAATGGAAGCTCGGAAGGTGGAAATTTCCCCTTCCTATGCATCCTTTCCTATACAAAATCCACCTTACCTGCTTATCCCTTCCTTATAAGAAAAGGGTAGGTAGGAGAAGTGGACACAATGTTTTTGTGCAGAGGATGGATTTTCAAATAGCTAAAAATATGTACACAATTGTAGTATAGTAGTGTTCATGTATATAAGCTTTTAATTGTACTATATACATAGTGTGTAAATATTAAATGTGTGGATGGTTTCATAATAAAATCAATACTTATGAAATGAGATTGCATTAAGATGTAAATTCACTAGCCTTTAAATTTATTTTTAATTTTAGTATGAAAATATGTACATATGAAATTCTAAATTTTAATTTTAGTTTTTATATATAATTGTGATTGTTTAAATGATTTTTAGTACTAAATTTTATGAGAAGCTATATAAACAAATAGCAAAAAGCTTAAAATAACTTTTGAAGCTTGAAGCTGGGTTAATATAAGATTATTTCATACCTGATACCCTTGGCTACATCATAAGGAGTGGTTCTCCATGCTTTAGCTTCCACCGTCTTCCCATCGGGTAATGTCACAACAATACTCAGTTCTGGTTTCGCAGCTAACTGCTCCTGATATTGTGTCTTGTATTTATCCCAGAGATTGATTCTCTTCTGAATGAATTCTGGCCACGGATTCAACTCGGATACCGTTCCTGAAGTGTCTTCGGCTTTTTTCTTTTTCTCCTTCATTGCTTTGGTTTTAGACTGCAAAAAACATTTTATTTAATTTTAATGAAATACATAGAGTAAAGACTAATTTGCCTATCATAAAGTGCCTAATTCTGTATTAGGTTTTCGTTTACAATGTTGTTCCCTAAGATAACATTTATTACCATAGTGAATAATATTTCAAGCCGTTATTTTTTATTGTTTCTCTTTTGTTCATCATCAGCGCGTTTCTATTTATAAAATACGAAAACTGGAATAATTATTATCTTATATATTAATAATAATTAAATTATTCTCGTTCGCTACGCAGTCCACTTTCTTATTGATGTAAATTAAGGGTTAAGTTTTGAGATAAAGTATGGTTGATTTAACTAAACTAACAGCTAGAAAGATATTTAAAGTATGAAAATAATATAGTGTTTACAAATTGTCGACAATATTCAGTGAATCAGTGATGACGAAGATCTCCTACCCATGTGGCATAAGCTTCTTTGAAGCGCACCACGCAGGTTCTACGTAAACTATACAGCGTTAACATCACTCAAATATTGAACAAATCTATTGTTATGAATTAAATATATTGTCTAATTTCCTGCCTTTTCGTTAATATTTAAATTCTGAACTCCTTCGGTCGCAGGGTCACCCATTTCAGTCGTTCACTTCCACTTGTCACTAGTAAATATTTGATTGACGTGTGTAGGTGTGCAGCAAAGAGTATTTAAAAGATGTGGGTCTTAAACCTTGTGTCAAAGAGTATGGTCTATATCAAGTCTGAACCCAAAGAGTATATAAAATGAACCGCTAAACCAGCTCAAAAGTCTAGTTCATACAGCCTGGAACCGTTGAGCTACGATTTGGCTAAAACTAAATTAGCAACTCACAGCTGCTCACAGCTAATTGCAATACTCGAGCTGTCTAATGGCTTGCCGTATTCTCGAAACGAAAATGATGTATAAATCACACTCTATGCAGGTACAAATTGAGCTGTGCTGCAAATCTGTCATTGATCTTTTTCACACATGTGAGCCGTGAGGTCATCTGCAGGTTTTTAGGTATGCATCTAATTTAGGTTGAGTATCTCCATAATAGAGAGAGGGGAGAGGTAGCAGCATGATAGCAAATAAGCGTTCCGTTATTTACAGATTTATTATCGTTATCCTGTTTTTTCTATTTTTTTTATTTAATTTTAATTAGAACATTATTCCTATTAAAAGATATACCTTGCAAAATCATTTAAAACAAAAAAGGAATTTTAGGCAAAAAATCTTGTGAGAGAAAAGGAACGTCAAACGTCAAGAGTTTCATGTTTCTTCAAAATTTCAAAACGAGAATTGTTGGTTTATTCCAAAATTGTTAAATTAACCTTTTGCTTGCAAAGTTTGTGATTTCTGTTGGAGAGTTTCTGTTGTTTTACTTCTTTTTTTTCAGTTAATTTTTTATGTTAAGTTTTGTGTTATTGTTTTTGTTTATTGTTAAAATGTCTTACCGTGAAAGACGACGTTACTGTGTTTTGGGATGCAAAGATATTGGTAAGTTAAAAAGTCCATAAAAAGTTAACTTTATTCCCATGTTATACCCACTACAGACTTACTTAAAAATAAAAATATCTCCGCATTTTTTCGTGGTTTATTTGTACAGTTTGGTATTACTCTCAAATACTCTGTTTATTTATTGTAGGTGCCTACATGCACGCCTTTCCCCATCCTGAAAGACGGTCAGAGATGTTCAGAAAATGGATGTCAATCATTGGAAAAAAAGTCAAAGAAACCGATCCAATAAAAATATATAAAAACAAGAAAGTTTGTGCCCGTCACTTCTCATTAGATCAAAAAGTGGCTAGCCATCGACTGAAATGTGATGCTGTCCCAACTTTAGATTTAGGAGGTGGGTCTATATATGTAATTAATAAACTATTTAATTATTTTTGAAAATTATTTTACTAGTGGACTCAAGGTGGGCTGGAATGGGGTCGAGACTTCTTTACAATGCATCAATTTTGTCCTCCAAGGATAAAAAAGTTTTATCATCATCAGCTCACTATATGTTACTGAGGGGCTCAGAGCCTGCCCTAAGTCAGGGGTGATTAGTCCATAGTCAACCATGCTGGCCAAGTGCGGGTTGGTAAATGTATTTATGTAAATCAAAGTTGGAAAATGCATTGCTATATGGCAAGATTCGAACCCAGGACCTGCAGATTACAATTCAAGTGCATAACCCCTAAGCTACCGATGCTATTAAAAAAATAAAAAGTAAACCTGAACTATTATTAATATTGATTTTAAATATTTACAGGAATATCTACTACTCCAAGTATTTTTATCGGACTTGAGCACAACTATTGTGTGCCAGGAGTCCAGACATCTGATCCAGCATTGCATACTACTGATACTATTGATACAGGTTTGTTAATAATTAAGCTCAAAAATGGTGGAACATTCATAATAGTATGTTTCATTTTATTTATATACCCTAATTACTTTGGTATGTGTGGCCTGATACAAGGTATAAGTGAATATTTATTTGAATATTAGTCAAGTTCAACATCATTAGCTCAACAATTATTTATTGATCTTAATTTTTTTAAACATTAGCATTTTTTATATTTACTAATAATTGTTGTACCATTTCTAGTAAGTTCTAGGCTTGTGATATTAAATTGTTTTTCGACAATAGTCGAATGACGGGATTCGAACTCTCGACCTTGTGATAGGAAATCCGAACCTTTAACCATTAGGCTATTGGTGCTCTTAATCCACCCTTAACATTTATAAGCATTTATAGAGGTCGGTAATTTTGATTCTTACTTAATTTATTAGGTAAGTAGTAAATAGTAGGGAGATAGATAGATAATCTGTATGTATATTCTACTTTTTATACTCTTTGGCTTTTATGTCAAATAAAATGTCAAACAGAAATTTTCTGTCATTCTGTTGTGACTTCTGACATTGACACTGACAGGCAATAATTGCCATAAAAAAGAAACTTAATACTGTTTATGTATTTTTTTTATTTCATAAATGTACTTAAAACAATATCAATAAACTATGATATGTTTAAGATTACATAATACGTTTCTACTTCGGAAATGTGCGTTTAAGAATCTACAGGAAATCGTTGAAATGAGTATCTACATGTATAACTTTATACAATGCTTATCCTATAAATTATATTCTCAATTACAAGTATAGAAACAGAAATTATAATTCCGTACGGCATCAGAAACAAGACAGGTCGAAGATCTCGAAGACCAACGCTACTGAATGCTGATACCTTCTGAGAGCATTGAGGTTTCTGAACTTGGTGACGCTTATTCAGAGCTGATCGCAGACCGGACTCACGAATCTGCTTAAAACTGTAGACAAGTTTTACCAACTTAGTTTTTTTTATTATCACACGTGGATCACTTCGGTGTACTCGCTGATCGTTTGCCCTCTTCTCTTATAAAAAAAAAATATTGTCCATGGTAAAGATCGGCATAAATCTTACTTCGTACTAATATTATAAATGCAAAAGTTTAGATGGATCGATGAATGTTTGTTTGAAGGTATCTCCAGAACGGCTGATCGGATCTCGATGAAATTTGACATATAGAATAGTCTTAGTCTGAAAGAACGCATCGACTAATAATTAAGTTTTTTTTAATTCCACACGGACGGAGTCGAGGGTGACACCTTGTATTATATAGTTTAAAACTCATTAAAACTATTTTTCTTGTTTTATCAACTGACCTAACTCTTAATAGTTCTAAATATGGAGAATCCTTCTTAATAGGCACTGAAGGATCAAATCCCATCATAAAGTCAACCTCCACAAGATCGCACTTCTCCATTTCAAGGAATGTTTCTTCAACACGCCGGTACACTGGCTCAACTATAGAATGAAACGCAAATAAACCCTGTAAAAAATATTGAAGTGTAAAAGTTAAGCCGATCTCATAGATTTTTTTTTCTCTAAATTAAATATCTAATCACCTGTCGAATTTTGTCTACACCCTTTTTGATTTCGTAAAAATGTGCAGTACCTTTCGCGGGCTTTACTTTCTTTGTGATTTCAACTCTTACTGGATCTGAGTACATCTAAAAAAATAGTTATTAGGATCGAGTATGGCTGAGTGCGGGCTAATAACTATCGCTAAGTATAATTTTAAATCTTACACCAAAAACAAAATGGTTGTAATCAACATCGTTAGCGGCCAGTGTTAATTTTGAGCGCGATAATTGTGTTAACGTCCTTATAGCGCTTGAAGGTGCTTGAAGCAGCACAACGATGTTTGCTGAATACGCTGCGTAAAGCAACATTAGTGTTGAAAATACCACCCATAGCATCATCCGACCTAAGCCATATTAAAAAAATAGTTGTTAATAATCTTTAATTTGTTATACTGTAACTTCTAAATTACTTTTCCATGTAACTGCCAACTAACCCGAAGCTTTTCTTGCCTCTAAAGTACATCCTTGTTGGCTGAACGCGCTAACGGTGACCAAAATCGCGTCGCTTACAGTCCCATCGAGTTGTGTCTGAGTCTGGAACCAAACCATTTGGATTCAGTGTAGACATTAATATACAATATATAATTTCAAATATGGGTGGACGTGACAGTTAAGGACAACTGTCAATTATAGCACTTACCCTGCCATACCTTGTCTCCCACTTACTAGAGAGATACAGTGTCACTGTAGAGAAGGATACGCAGGCAGCAATTGCCAGCCACACTTCAGTGGAAAAGGGAAGGGTAAAGATATTCGCGACGTAGGAGAGGGGAGGCTGGCGGTAGATGAAACCGACCTTAAAGGGGGCAATATTATCGGTGTATGTAACCACGTCGAGACGTTCAGTGTATATCGCGCAGTTAGATCCTGGTATAAATAAAAAAAACACTTAAATTTCGCAAATTTATAGGTTTTTAATTTGAAGAGGTCTGTTCTACAATAAATGTAACCATTGCGGACAATTCTTGTTAAATTTTGACCGTGTATGGCGGCCATTTTGTCAACCGCTACCGTTACATTTGATCATTATGATTTTTAGTTACGGTACGAACTATAATTGAAATTATTTACCTAAATCAGCTCTACCATTAAGTATGTCGTCAATCATGCCGGACCATCGGCCATTCTGCTTGTAACCCCAGCGGTGACTGAAAATGTACTGGGGAGTGGCATTGAGCATTTCAAAGGCGAGCTTCACGACCATCCACGACATCTTTGCTATTGCATCATGCTGCCCCTCTCTATTTTAAACGATTAGATGAGAATAAAACTAATTTTTAAAAGAAAATTTAAGTGGCCCACTATTATGACGTTTACCTCATGTCACAGATCAAAACGCAAATTTTATTTACAAATTGCAAGAACAGAGTTTAGGTAATACTTTGGGGATAATAAAAAAGCATTAGGAATGAAAGTGGCCATAAAATCCATCTTCTAAAATAACGGAAGAAAAGACAATAATATCGGTTAAATAACTATGTAATTTTTCTTACAATCGATCCTCCAAATGGTATTGCGTCGTGTTGCTGTCTTGTATAACATTGGCCATGGTAAGGGCGTGTTTCATGAGGTTTCTTCGTCTCCGAAATAGTTCTCTATGAGGTCTGACGTCAAATAGGCTGCCATTGTAATAACCTCGTATTGAATATTTCAGTGGCCCAGAGTTGGAAATTTTATAAACTGTACAGATTAAAAATAAAATAAGGGTTGTTTAATAGTTATAGCGGTCCTTTATTATAGATTTTTAAATAAAAATTGCTGCTTAAGTTCGCCGAACTATGCGAAAAGTTACGCTTAAGTTTTTCAACTGTAGAAATTCTAAAAGTGCTTACTTTCTTGTAGTTCGAAATTTAAATCTCTTCGTTTAGCTAACACCACATCGCTTCCAGTCAATAAAGAAAGATTTTCTAGAAAATAAGATTCATGTTTGCTAGATTCCAATAATAACCAACGGTATGGAAATCTAAAAAGATTATTTGAGGAGGCCTGTAAAAAGCATAGCTTATGGCATATTTTAATAGTTAATAAAATTGTTAATTTAAAAATTATAAATAACTTTACTTTCATTAGAATTTCCCTTGATTCAGGACAATCTAGATCAACGAGAAATAAAGTATCAGACGTTTCTTTAGTATTTTCCAAATGTGTTAAATGTGCGCTCCTTATTCCTGTGCTAGATATTTCTTTAGCAAATTTTAAATTAAATTCTGAAAAAAATTCATAATTTTATGTAAATGTAACAAAAAAACTATTTTCAATCGTCATCATATCTAAAGATAAAAAATAACTTACTCATATCCCAGCATGTATTATAACAATTTAAAAACGTAGATCTCTCTTCATTTTGAATAAAACTTTTAATAAAATTTATTACAGTCATGTCTTTACATTCGATATCTCTTTGTAAGAAAATAAATAGTAATATTTTCAAAACCTTCATTGTTCAAGACTGTATTAGGCAAATGTAACAAAGATATAACCAACTTTAAATTGACTCACAGAACAATTATACAGGATGTTGAATAAATAAGTATACGAAGCTTACGTTTTCTAATCAAATACGTAGAGTAGTAATTATAGGACAATATTAATTACAAGTTCCGATTTAAATGCTAGATAAACATTTAATGACTGGGCTTCAATGTTTACAGTTACACGAACAAACACACGAACTTAATTATATAGACAAGTGAAAGATATTTTGTAGTCAATTCTTTTATTTATTTATTTAATGTCATAAATTAATGTAATTACGTGGTGAATTTCAATATTTCTAAAACATACGACACATATTTTCGCAAAATTCGTACCTAATTTTCTTTTAAATTGTTAAATAAATGTGTAATAATTTTACATCGTAAATTGATAGGGAGCGATTTGATTTAGTTTCATCCGTAGTGCCCTTCGAGTTACTCTGAAAATAAAAAAAATAATCTTATTCAAATACCAGCTTCGTACCTAATAAATAAAAAGAGAAAGATATTTGAATGGAAGCCGTAAAAGACCAGTTGGTGAGACCAGTTTTACTGTTTCCAGATGGAATAATCTTTATGTCGACTCTCGTATTCTTACGCGACTCAATTTTAGGCATTGGTGACACAACCCCAAAGCGCGTTTGTGCACACATAGTAGTCCTACCTCTGCAAATGCGCTCGAAGCTAATCACGTGCTGGAATCTTCGAATCTGGTACTTACAGATGTTTATGTGCAATTTCCACTAACAACACCGCAATCGCGAGTATCAGGCCGTATAACGCCGCAAGTACTGCCGGTCTCATGTCGGTCAAGCCGACACTGCTGAACGCAGAAAGTGAACCCGAGCACCGCGGCCGCGATACCTGCAGACGACGTTGGTTGTTCGCTTGGATGCCTGTCTCCCTGATCTTTATGAAGCTGTGGATACAGAAAATA